TATTTTAAAATATATTATTAAATGCTATTAAAACTTTAATCTATACACCGAACTGTATGAAATAATTTAATTTTGCAGAGTTGTATTTCTATATTCTATATAATTAAAGCTAGTTTTATACTATATTGATAGTTTTAAATAAAAATGACGTGGAGGTTTGTTTGCAGTTGTGTTGCCTGTTCATGCATTCATCCAACAAATATTTATTAAAAATTTCTACCCTGTGCCAAGCACTGTTCTGGATACTAAGAATATAGCAGTGAACAAAACAGCTCAAAATTCCTGCCTTCATGGAGTTTATGTTCCAATGGGAAAGGCAGACCACAGATAAGATAAATAAGTAAAATATGTTGATAAATGCTAAGAGAGAAAAGAGTAAAGCAAGAAAATGGGGTATGAAATGTGGCAGAAAGGGTGTCCAGGGAAAGGGTTGCTGTGGTGACCCCAGACATGAAATAAGTGAGGAAACTAACAATGCCAATTTCTAAGGAAAACAAAGGCCCTGAGACTTTATACTTTTAAGAGCAACATAAGTCACTAGAACTTTTTTCCTTCCCTAAATCAGTAAATAAAATGCAATGCAGCAAATTAAACATTTTCAGCTCCAGTCTATTGAAAAGGGTAGATTCAGAGCTCTCAATAAAGTTAAAAAGCTACATTTCCAAGTAGGTACTTTTACTTTTGTCTGTCTTTTATCATGAACACATGTCAGAAATAAGCTTGATATCATAAAGGAATATGCTATAAATATTGTCAAATATGAAGTCAAATTATGGGGTAGGGAGGGAGGGCGAGCTGCCCTGGGGAGCCGAGGAACACTTTCTTTTCTGTCCTCAGAGATACTTATGTGGGCAGACTGAGGAAGTAAGAAAAGGGTTAAACTGCACTGTCGCAGTAACAGTCCTTAAAGTTGTTTTGCAGGAAGCAGCAACAGCATCAGCCAAAGTTAGGGAGCTAAAGAGCTGAACTTGGAAGAACTTTGCTCCTTATAATGCTAAATTCTCCGCCCACGGAGGAGCTTAAGCTTCATTAACATAACAGGATGTATGAACAAGCATGATGTGAAACTGAGTTCATACCAACAAATCCCTATCTCTACATGCAATGACCTAAATAAGATCTTTGCATATTCGTATTTATACTAAATAAAAGAGGCTGTAACTTTCTCTCCTGGGAGACACTGCTTTGGGAGCTATCTTCAGTGTTCTCCTTACTTGTTACAAGTAATAAAGATTCCCTTTCTTCAATCTGATCTTGGTAGAGTTTGTTTGGAATATGCTCTCTGGGAGGCAAACCCCTTGAGTCTGGTAACACTTATGTTCCCTGTAACCAGAAATGGTTCCTTTGACCTTTCTTGGCACCTTAAAAAAGATGATTTTACCTGGTGTGCGATTCAAGTCATTCCCACCCCTCCCCCCCTTAAAATTCTCCCTGTGTGCTTGTTTATGCTTCAAATTCTTTTAAAGGAGACTCCAATCTTTCATATTTCATATTTTTTCAGATAAAAACCCAGTCATTTCTTGAATCTGCAATGGATTTCTCAAAGGATTTTGAAGTCAGTGCAATGAGAAGACTTTAAATTATTTAAGCCTAGGAATAATGACTAATGCAGTTACTTCAGAAAGATTAATCTGGGAGCACATGTAAAATGGAGAGAGACACTGAGAATGAAAAACGCACTTAAGGGTTGGATAAGCCACTATGGAAAAAAAGTTAGCACCAACCATATGGTACCAGTAGGACTTGCCAACTGATTTTATGGGAGGTAATCAAAACATTAACGAGATTCCTGGTCTGGCATCCTTCCGGTCTAAATGGTTTTTTACTATTGACAAGTAACATTAGAAGGGTTATGGCACATTTAAGATAATTAAGAAAAAACTGGAACCTAAAGTTTAAAAAAAGCCAGAAACACCTCAGGTTTCATAAATGTGTTTCAAGGCTCTGCAGGTCCTATAGATAATAAGATGGGATCTCCATGTATTAAAAACAATCAAATAAGCTGTAAAAAGCAATCAGGAATATACTATAGAGGGATCTCAAGAATATATTAAATGAAAAAAGTGAGGTGGAAGGAAATAGAGACAGATTATGTGTAGGATAGATGTACTTCTGCTGAGTATTCTTGCCAAAGAAACCTGAATCTGATACCCTCCAGATGAGTTCTCAAAGTGTGGTATGGGGGACCCCTCCATGTCACTGAGACTCTTTCAGCAACTCCATGAGGTCAAAACTATTTTCTTAATGATGCCAAGACATTATTTGCCTTTTTCACTTTCATTCTGTCCTAGCGTACAGTCCACTGTCTACATGTGTTATATTGGAACAGACAGTGCAAAAGCAGTCATTTACTAAGCCAAACGGAGCTTCAAACATGTAAAACAATGCTATTCTTATTACAGGGCACACGGGACACAGGTCTGGCTGCCTGCCCCGTTTCAAAAACAAACCACTCTAAAGTCAAATGTTGGTGAATGGAGCTTCAAACATATAAAACAATGCTATTCTTATTACAGGGCACACGGGGCACAGGTCTGGCTGCCTGCCCCGTTTCAAAAACAAACCACTCTAAAGTCAAATGTTGGTGAAATTGGAAGTCAGCTTTTATTCAGGAATACTGGTGACCTGAGAAGAGATGGCAGGCTAACCCATCTCTCCCGTAAACCTGAAAGAGAATCGCCGGACTAAAACCATATCAAAGACTCCAGATTTACTGAGGAGTTTTTAAAGAAGGGGCAGAGGGGGTTAGTGGGACATACAAGGGGCAGGTGCCAATTCGTGCCAAAGCTCCATCTGGTTTCTGGTCCTGTCCTTATGTCAGGGTCCTGCTGGATAGTATGTGCCTCACTGCAAGCCTGCAGCTTCAGGCAGGCTGGAAAACAACTTTACATTTATGTAAATAATGTCATCTTGCCCCATAACCAAGGCTCAAAATATCATAGAACCACGGAGAAAGAGAGCATGCCAAGAAAAAAAACCTGTCTTTTTAATTTGCCTACAGTCCATGCAGTTTTAAGTCCCAACATGACTTCAGTCCTGCTCGCACCAACATTCTCACTGATGTAGGAGGTGCTCAGTTTCCCTGGGCTCAGATTTCAGGACACACCTCTGGGTTTCAAGCCACTCCCCAAGGATCCCAGGACCTTCCTCTGGGCCCTCCCCTAAAGGAAAGCTACTGTTCAGCACCACACGGGTCTGGCTTATGCAAATCTAGTGGCTGGGCATGCTCAGTAGAGAAGGGTTATAATAACACTGGTAGTTGAATGACCTTCCGCTATAGGTGATAGAGAGCACACAATATTCTTAAATATGCCTGGTGCATGTGACACCGTTTGACCAATGAACATGCTCTGAGAAGAGACCAACTGAGCATTTGCAAGACTAATGTTACATAACTGGGAACCACCCCCTTAACTGAATATTTATTAGATAGCAAAACTACAAAAGCTGAATGCCAGCAGAAGGCAGGGCTATTGCTCTCTCCTGGAGCCAGCTCATACTCTGCCTATGGAGTGTGTATTTCTTTTTCTATCAAACTTACTTTCAGCAAGCGGCTGCTCACTATCTTGAGCCAGCCTGACTTCTGTATTGAACTTTAAGGTGTGTATTTCTTAAGGTTGACGTTAAACTTGAGGTTGACCCTGCTCAGTCTCTGGAGCTATGCTGCTCTATCTCTGTGAAGTCCGTATCTCTTATTCTCTATATTAAACTTGTTCTCACTTTCTACTGTGACTCTGCCCTTGAATTCTTTCCTGTGGTGGAGTCCAGAACCTGGTAAGAGGACAGGGTGGGTTGAGGCCCACTATCAGGGCCCCCTGACCCTACCTCCGATATCATCACTACACTATTTTGTTTTGGAAAATGTTTTAGTTTTTATTTGAAAGTGTTATTTATGTTGTTGTGTAATGGACTTAGTATTATTTCAAACTAATACTTTAAGATTTTGTTTTAATTTTGATATGGTAAATTGTCAATATATGTAACAAAAACAAGATTCTTTTTGGTCTTCAATAATTTTTAAGAGTGAAAAGAGGTACTGAGGGCCGGCCCATGGCTCAACTCAGGAGAGTGCGGCACTGGTAGCGCCAAGGTCGTGGGTTCAGATTCTATATAGGGGTGGCCGGGGCACTCACTGGCTGGGCGTGGTGCAGACCACACCATGCCAAGGGTTGCAATCCCCTTACAGGTCAAAAAAAAAAAAAAAGAAAGAAAGAAAAGAGGTACTGAAATCAAAAAGTTTGTAAGCTTCTGTTCTCGAATAGGTCATCCGTTTCTAACCCTGCATATTAGAATTACCTGGGGAATTTAAATACTGACATGAGGCCTCCCTTCCAGAGATTGTTTTAATGGTCAGGGCCTAAACCCAAGCATCAATTCAACAACCACATCCAAACCCCCTTGAATCCGCAGTTTGGATTGAGACACCAGGGCTGTAGATAAAATTATAAATTTAAATACAAAAAAGTGGAAGGTGTTGAATTATGCTGAGGGGATGCAATCAGCAAAAGCACACAGTGCAAAAGTGACTAGACATGTGACCCCTGCTAAATTAAAAGGACAGATTAAAGCAATTTCTAAGAGAAAGCGAAGGCAGTAGCCATAGGAACAAAAACTAAATTCGATTAATCCCATGCCAGTGGTTTACCGCTCTGTACTAGTTTCGGCAGCTGAATTTCCTTACAGAGAAGGGGCTCCCTTAGGTGTTTCCGTGCACCTCCCCCACCCTCAACCCACTGCTTCCTGACTGCAGCAATGAAGTCCCAGCATTCACACGTGCGGAGGCTGCGCGTGAGTCCGACAGCCACGTGTTGGGAGTCACGTGTCAGGCGCCAAGTGGCGGGAGGCCGTTGGAGGCGCCTGCGCAGCTCCCACGTCCTGAGCGCCGCTTTCCCGCCAGGAGGACGCTGAAGCGATTTTCTACTTCCCTTCGTCGTCGCTCCTGTCGCTCCTGTCCGCGTCTTGAACTACTGCTGCCTGTATTTACGTCCACCATTCCCACCATGCAGCGTGAGCAAGGGAAAAAAAAGCAGGAGAAGAAGGCCGAAAAACGGCTGTTTGATGCTGTGTCCTTCGGGAAAGACCTCCTGGCTGGCGGGGTCGCAGCGGCTGTGTCAAAGACAGCGGTGGCGCCCATCGAGCGGGTGAAGCTGCTGCTGCAGGTTCAGGCGTCTTCCAAGCAGATCAGCCCCGAGGCGCGCTATAAAGGCATGATGGACTGCCTGGTGCGGATTCCCCGTGAGCAGGGTGCGTAAGGCAGGCCCCTGGGCCAGCCTCTCCCAACTCCTGACCACTGCACGGGGTGGGGCTTGGCCGGGAGCGGGACCATTGCGGGTGCCTCGGCCACGTCTGTCGGTGATGAGTTTGATGTTTAACCTTCCAGAATTTAGTTTTTAACCAGTCTAACAGGTTCTGCTTTCCCTTCTTTTTCCCTAAATTTCTCTGCTGTAGCATGATTTACATCTTGATACATCTGTGCCTGGCCAAAAGGAAAGTGGTTGACCTCCCAGGATCGAGGGAGATGCCATTAGGCACTCTGCTGTATGTTAACTGGCATTTTTGTTTTTAATATGTTCGTTGCAATGGTATGCTCAGGAGAAGTACAAATCTGGAAGTCTTGGGGCCTCCCAGTACTCTGATACCTATTAGTGAGAATCTGGCATTTTTAAGTTTTTAATATGTTCGTTGCAATGGTATGCTTAGGAGAAGTACAAATCTGGAAGTCTTGGGGCCTCCCAGTACTCTGATACCTATTAGTGAGAAGAGATCCTGCTTATTCTTGAGAACTACTGAAGATCAGAGTATAGACTAATTAGGCCCTCACCTTTCCACAAAATTTAAGGGGTACCAAAAAACTCAGTAATTAAGATAAATAGTATTTTAATGAAATATTTTTAAAAATCAAAAGTTATGTAAAAACATGAACAAACTATAAAAATTTTAAATAAAGATGGTGTCAGTATTACCAGTTTTTCTTTTTTGTGTCAGGCCTTGTCTTTATTTAAAATTTTACTTTTGTTTATCATGGAATTTTTTCCACTAATTAAAATGATTTGTAGGAATAAATAATGGAAGTGCTTTATGAACCATTGCTGCAAAATGGCATCTATCTTAGCTAAGGGAATGTTTATCAGAAATCTTATGTAATCAACCCATGTACTTGGAAAAATCTATATGAACTTTCAAAAGGAAATAGGCCTACTTATTGTGTATTCTGAACAAGAAAAGAAGGGGCTTCAACTCCCATGCAGTCCTTTCTTCCACTCCCAGGTCTAGGGCACTTTCTCCCTAGGAATGTGGTTACAACTCTTCTTAACCTATTGGGTGAAGTATATGGGGTCAAGAGTAGAATCTTAAGGCATCATCCGAAACTGTGCACTTAGAATGCCAAACTGGAGGCTGAGCTCAGATCTTTAATAGTGGTCCCCCCTCTCCATTCCCATTTGTTTTGTCAGAACAAGCCTCTTAGTTCCCCCAAGGTTTTTTACAGGAAAAGCAGAAATCTATCTCTTTTTAGCTCAAATTTTAAGACCTCTCCAGAGAAGTAGGAGTCTCTTTATTATTAGCTCATTTGCTTTATTTAGTCGTGTAAAGTGAAGTATTCTGGTCACGCTGTGCTGATCGATGCTAATTTATTTTTATTTTAAATGTTTTTTGCAATATTTAAACCTAAATATGTTCAATATGACTCCTGCAAGTTGAGATCATTTTTAATATAGAAAGGTCCCTGTTTTCTTTGCCTTCCAAGATGAGATGATCATAAGCAGAACTTTAAGATGTTTTCTATTCTTATGTACAAGGCATTGTTATAAGTACACTATGGTACATCCTATGCTAAGGGATTAGCAATTCACAGCAGGGATAATATTGCCATCTAGAGGCATTTTGAGACGCTTGAGGGAATTTTTTGTTTAGCACAGACAGGTGTAACCCTAAATTGCAGTAATATGAAAGGCAAGGACCAGGGATGCTAAACATCCTGCTGCTTTACATGGACCAGTCCTACACAATGAAGACATATCCTGCAACCCGAATGACTTTTAGATCTTCCATTGAACATTCATATAGCAGTGAAACCTGTTTATGATTATCTGAGCTTAGAACCTAACTATGATTTACTTAAAAACACATAGTATCTGGGATAAAGTTTTAGTATACACTGATTCCTGTAGAGCAAGTACCATGTAAGGAAGTAGGGGGATGATTGTACTTTTATTTTGTTCAGAATTTTACTAAGAGTTGTTTATCACTGTGAAAACTCATATCAGCAATTCTGCTTGTGATATTTGGTCACCACTTATATCATCTGTATTTGTAGCTATTACATTCATGATGATTGTATATTTATATGTACAAATACGTTTATTAAGCCCTTTTTTCAATCAATGGGTAGTTTAATTGTAACTGATTCATTGTAAATAGAGGGAAGCATATGACTAGTATATCTATGGCATGATTATGGCCCACCAATTTACATGTTAAAATACATTATAGATTCCCTTAATTTCTCTCTTAATATGGTAGCAAGGGCATTATACTGATTTTCTAAAAACTGCTGACTAGGACATTGTCTTTGAATTTTATTTCTGGCCAGTAAAGGTAATATTGTAAAATATTTCTTATATGTAGACGACTTGAGCCTGGTAGGTTGAGAATCACCATGCTAGATCATTCTGGAATTTTACTGGACAATCAAACTCTGAGACTGTATTTTCTGTAATTTGCCTTCTCTCCCTTTTTTGAAAGTCAAGATACATGCCCATCTCAAGTGTTCTGAAGTTTCTCTTAGTTTTCATGTTTTCTCTAATTTTATTGACAACTTTGCCTTTTTTTTAGGCAACATGAACATGGAACGTGCAATTAGATGCTCTCTCACTATCTTCTTACCTTATCTCTGCTTTCTTTCCACCCCAAGGACAGATCTCTTGTTTCCCTAAATATAGCTTTAAACATCGAATGTCTTTGATACTTTTATAAGCTTTTCTTGGCTTACAAAAGCTTCTGGATTTATCCTGACTCATGCTATTCTTAAAGATCTTCTCTATTCTTTAACTGGTTTTATCACCTTCCAACTTGGTATGCGTGCTTTTATTTAATACTATTTAAACTTATTGCACAAATAATGCATGTTTATTATAAAAATTAGAAAATAAAAAGAAGCTAAAAGTCAAAACAAATCACTACTGAAATCATCATAGTTAACATTTTGGTGTCTATGCTTTTGCACTGACTAAAATATGCATATGTTCATATATTTAATTAAAATGACTTTTAATATACTGTCAACATAGTTTTTTTAATTGACACATGATTGTACATGTCTGTGGGGTACAACGTTGAATATCAATACTTGTGTGCAATATGTGATGTTCAAATCAGGATTATTAGTATATTCAACCTTACACATTATAATCATTTTTCTGTGGCCCTTTACCAATTTTTTGCTAACCTCCCCTGCCCCTCTCCCACCTCTATTGGCCTCAGTTCTATTTTATTCTCAACATAGCTCTTAACAGATCTGATTTATACAGTCTCATTTTTAAGGGACTACCAGAACTCTTTTCTCTTTTAGAAGTTCCTGGCCAATGAGTTTATCAGCTATCTTCCATCTGAACATTTCCAAACCAATTTTTCTGAAGGCTAGAGTAATGAGATTTTTTAACACCCTAGGGTTCATCTTAAAGATGACTTTTGGGGAGTATGGAAAGAACGCCAATGAGTTTATCAGCTATCTTCCATCTGAACATTTCCAAACCAATTTTTCTGAAGGCTAGAGTAGTGAGATTTTTTAACACCCTAGGGTTCATCTTAAAGATGACTTTTGGGGAGTATGGAAAGAACATATTAGGTATTTTATTTATATTTACTTTATCTTAATAAAATAGAAATGCTGAGTGGTCGGGGGAGTTGCTCTGGAGTTCTTTCCACGGTCTCCAAAATGATGACCTAGAAAGCAACTGAGACCAAATACATATAGCAAGGATTTATTGAGCCAGTATGACAATCGCAACTAGGGAGACACATAGAACACTGAAAAATATGTTCTGAAAAGGACCATCAGAGCTTAACATTTTATAACCACAGAAGAGGGAAGGGTCAAAGGAGAAAGACAGCCCTGCCTAATTACATCATCAGGCTTTCTATTGGTTATACATGACATATAGATTTGGGATTGTTAGTTTCATCCTTCTTGCAGGGAGGGATGTAGGGTAAGGGTAATAAGTATTCTAGGTTATCTTATGGCTTGCTGGTGCTGTTTGGCTGCTGCTAAGTAAAATGGTCTTATGATAACATTTTCCAGGACAAGTGGATGTGATTACTGACTTATCCTAGATCTCCCAAGGCACTATAATTTAGCTAACCTGGTCAGAGCAGATTCTTTTGGTTATCAACTTTACCCTCTGCCAATACCCTGTCATTGTATTACTGTAAACTGTGGTTCCGAAAATCAAATCTTATTCTTAAACATCATTTACACAGTCACAGTTCACTTTCTATATTCTTTCTCTTCCAGAGGTCTGACCTCTGAGAAAATACAAATGCTTAACTGTGTTCTTAAAAGTTTTTATTGACTGGCTGGCCAGTTAGCTCAATTGGTTAGAATGTGGTGTTGGTAATACTGAGGTTCCGGGTTCTATCCCTGTACCAGTCACACAAAAAAAAAAAAAGAAAAAAAGTTTTTATTGACTGCTAAGAGCTTAAGTACCACTAAAAATAACTCCAAAAATTAGATTCACCAACATCTCTTAGTAGTTAGTAAGGCCTAATTAGCAAGAAATATTCCTTTCTAATTTGCTTACATTTCTCATGATTTAAGATATTTATTTTGCTTCCATTAAAGAAACAGTTGATCTTTCTTAGTGCAGAAAATATTAGTGTGTCCAAAGTACTCATAGAAAAGTCCTATAGTTAAGGTACCGAATTTTTTAGCCAGACTACTTGGGTTTGAATTCTATCTCAACAACTTTATGACTAAGTGAACTTGGGCAAGTTACTTAACTTTCCTGTGCCTTAGAAGTTGTTTTTAACTCATTACTTCATGGGGGGAACTAATAGTACCTACCTCATAGGTTATGAGGATTAAGTTAGTTAAAAGCAGTTCCTAGTAAGTAATCATTGTTTTATTAATACCGCCTCAAGCACACTGGCCAGCTGCCAAAAAAAAAAAAAAAAAATTGCCTCAAAAATAATTTTTCCCAGCTTTATTGAGGTAAAATTAGCAAATATATTTAAAGGGTACAAGGTGATATTTTGATATACATTGTGAATTGATTAGAGTGCAGTTATATCTTCAACATACTGATTTCAGTTCATTTGCATACATGTCCAGAAGTGGGATTGCTGGATTATATTGTAGTTCTACTTTTAGTTTTTTTGTGGAACCTCTAATACTGTTTTCCAAAATGGTTATACTAATTTACATTCCTGCCAACAGTATACAAGGGTTCCCTTTTCTCTACTTCCTTGCCAACACTTGTCTTTCATCTTCTTGATAACAGCCATTCTAACAGATGTGAGTGATGTTTCATTGTGATTTTAATTTGTATGTCTCTGGTGATTTTTCCATATACCTGTTAGCCATTTGTATGTCTTTTTTTTTTTTTTTTTTTGAGAAATTTCAGTTCAGATCCTTGGCCCATTTTTTAGTTGAGATCTTTTTTTCTTGCTATTAATTTCCTTATATATTTTGGACATTAGTCCCTTATTAGGTGTATGATTTGCAAATATTTGCTCCAAAGCCATGAGCTCTTTATTGTGTCTCATTTGCTGTGCAGAAGCATTTTAGTTTGATACAATTCCACTTGTCTATTTTTGCTTTTGTTGTCTGGACTTTGGAGGTCATATCCAGAAAAATATTGCCCAGACCAGTCATGGAGCTTTTCCCTTATGTTTTCTTCTAGTAGCTTTACAGTTTCAGGTCTTTTGAGTTAATGGTTATATATGGTGTGAGATAAGGGTACTTTTTCATTCTGATGTGGATATCCAGTTTTCTCAGCACCATTTATTGAAGAGATTGTCTTTTCCCCACTATGTGTTCTTGGAACCTTTGTCAAAGATCAACTGAACACATATGTACGGACATTTTTCTGGGCTCCCTCATATATTTTATTGGTCTATGTGTCTGTTTTTATGCCAGTACTATGCTGCTTTGGTTATCATAGCTTTGTAGTATATTTTGAAATCAGGTAGTGTGATGCCTCCAGCTTTGTTCTTTTTGCTCAAGATTGCTTTAGCCATTTGGGGTCTTTTGTGGTTCCATATGAATTGCAGGATCATTTTTTGTATTTCTGTGAAAAATGCCATTGGAATTTTGATAGAAACTATACTGAATATGTAGATTGCTTTGGGAAAAGTGGATATTTTAGCAATATTCTTCCAACCCATGAACATGGTATATCTTTTTATTTATTTGTGTCTTCTCCAATTTCTTTAATTAGTTTTAAAGTTTTTTTTTTTTAACTTTTCACTGTACAGATCTTTCACCTCCTTTCACCTCTTTGGTTAAATTTATTCCTAAGGTTATTTTGTTTTCTTTAGTTTTTTATGCTGTTGTAAATGGGATTGTTTTCTTAATTTATTTTTTGGATAGTTTGTCGTTAGTGTATAGAAATGTAACTAATTTTTGTATGTTGATTTTGTATCCTGAAACTTTACTGAATTTGTTTACTAGTCGTAACAGTTTTTTTGTGGCATTTTTAGGGTTTTCTATATACAAGGGTACTTCAAAAAGTTCGTAGAAAAATTGAATTAAAAGATAATATGAATCTTTCCATACACTTTTTGAAGATCCCTTGTATAAGAAAGATCATGTCATCTGCAGACAGGGTTAAGTTTTTCCTTTCATATTTGGATGCTTTTTATTTCTTTTTCTTGCCTATTTGCTCTGCCTGGGATTTCAAGTATTCTATTAAATAGAAGTGGCAAGAGTGGTTATCTTTGTCTTGTTTCTGATCTCAGAGGAAAAACTTTCAACTTTTCACCATTGAGTATGGTGTTAGCTATGACCTCTACTGTACTTCTGTAATGAAACTGTTGAGAGTTTTTAATCATTAAAGGATGAATTTTGTCAAATGCTTTTTCTGCATCTGTGGAGATGCTCATATTGTTTTTGGCCTTCATTCTGTTAATATGGTGTATCACATTTACTGATTTGTGTAGAACCATTTTTGCATCCCAGGGATAAATCCCACTTGATCAAGGTGAATGATCTTTTTAATGTGCTGTCAAATTTGGTTTACTAGTGTTTTGTGGAGGATTTCTGCACATGTTCATAAGGGATATTGGCTACATTTTATTTTCTTGTAATGTCTTTGTCTAGCTTTGGTATCAGGGTAATGTTAGCCTCATAAAATAAGCTTCAAGGTGTTCCCTCCTCTTCAATGTTTTGGAATAATTTGAAAAGGATTGATTTAATTCTTTTTTTTTTTTTGGCAGCTGGCCAGTTTGGGGTTCCGAACTCTAATTCTTATTTAAATTTTGGTAGAATTCAGCTGTGAAGTCATCATATCTTAGAAGGCAGGAAGATTTTTGATTACTGATTCAATCTCCTAACTCATTTGTTGGTCTGTTCAGATTTATTATTTCTTCATGATTTAGTCTTTGTGGATTGTATGTTTCTAGGAATTTATCCATTTCTTCTAGGTTATCCAATTTGTGGGCATATAATTGTTCACAGTAGGCTCTTATAGTCCATTATATTACTGTGGTATGTATCAGTTGTAATATCTTTCATTTATAATTTTATTTATTTGAGTCTTCTCTTTTTTTCCCTTAGTCTAGCTAAAGGTTTTTTCATACTATTTATCTCCTCAAAAAAAAAAATCTTAGTTTCATTGATCTTTTCTATTGTTTTTATAATTTCTATTTCAATTATTTCTGCTCTGACTTTTTTATTCCTTTCTTCAGCTAACTTCAGGCTTAGTTTGTTCTTTTTCTGGTTCCTTGAGGTGTAAAGTTAGATTGTTTATTTGAGATCTTTTTTCTTTTTTGATGTAGGCAGTTATTGCTATAAACTTCCCTCTTATACCTGTGTTTGCTACATCCCGTAAGTTTTGGTATATCGTGTCTTTGTTTTCATTTGTCTCAAAATATATTTTCATCTTGTTTTTAATTTCTTCTTTGACCCATTGGTTGTTGAGGAGTGTATTGTTTAATTTCCACATATTTGAGAATTTTCTAATTTTTCTCTTGTTCAAAAATTTTATAGTAATGTTTCTTTTTTCTTTTATAGAACTTTATTTATCATACTTTAATAATTTTAGAACTTTTCTATGATATCTTTCTCCAGAAACCCAAGTCTAGAATAGAGTGTTAGGTTCGGCAAGACAGGAAAGGGGCAGGGGGGGGGGGGACCTGAGTGAGGTGCTATTTCAGCCAAGCAGCTTTATTTCCACCAACGTGGAGGGGCAGACTGAATCAGATCAGTTCCCCTGAACAAAGGAAAGCAGGAGGTGTATAAGGCTTTGAGGGTTCTGGCAGAGTAATAGGAAATTTCAAAATCAGTGGTATGCAAGGTGACACAGTCCTTGTCCAGTAACATCTGGTCAGTTAGGGCATAGGCTTCTGAAGCATTCCTTCCAGTCCAGCACAATTGCCTTAAGCTGGCCATGAGACCTAATACAGAGCTTTGGAGTAAGACAGAAAGCCTTATTTTAAATCCTGGTTTGGCTATTTATTAACTATTTCCTTAGACAGTATTTAAATTTTTTAAAGTTTCACTTTGTGCATGTTTAAAATGGCTACTGTAGGAGAACATAAGCATAATGTGTTAATTAAATGAAATATACATATAAATCCTTTGTCAGTGCCTGGCTTACAGTAAATGATTGGTCGGTGGTAGCTGTAACCATTACAAGTTTAATACCATATAAAGACAGTCAGCTATGAGCACTGAGAAGATTATTTCTTCACTGTTAAATATGCTTAATTGTCTTTGTGCAACCACGTTATACTCAGCCTTGGAGTCACCAATATTCTATATTTCTTCCACAGGGTATACTTACTTGACAAATATCTTTACCTCTGTATAGTTATGTAATCCAACTCTGTCAGTTTTTGAGCACTGACACAGTCAGTTGAGATGATTTTCTTTTGAATCTTTATTTTTAAGACTGAATTTGGGTATTCTCCAAGCTGCAACCAGAGTTATCCTATTCAGAGTAGCACAGTCAAACCATTCGACAATTTTCAATCTAATGAAAACGATCCAGGCTACTGAAGGGCTAACCCTATCATGTTTTAGATCAGCCCTGGATTATAAGCACAGCTCTGAATTTTAAGGGTTATACAATATATGAATTAAAAAGGTTATTAGTCAGCCCATGGAGAATTGAGATAGAAAGATTATTGACCTTAAAAATTTCCTCCAGTCTCTCCATCGGGCCTCTAGATATTTCATTGAATTAAAATACATCCTTTCTGTGACTAGATTTCAGCCCCCAATCAAAATGGTTCCAGAACATGGAAGGCACTTTAGATTCTTTTATCCCTTTCACATTCTCATAAATACATGTAAAAACTAATAAGTGGACATAGTTGTTCTTTCTAGTGTAGCCACTTGTAGTGTAGCCTTATCATCATGGAAATTGTACATCGGGGTTTGAGAATAAGACTAAGGGTTATTATGCCTCTGACAGATATTAGTGAGCTCTGTACTAGTAAAGAGCCCTATATTCAGCCCAACGAAAACCTATGGATAATGCTTTCCATAGGTTTTTAGGTATTCAAGGCTTTTTATTTGAAATAAACAAAATTGGAATGGGGTACACAGAATTAACACTGCCTTTTTTCTTCAGTGGAGACACACATATTAACTTTATTTTTCTCATGAGAAAGTATGTTTTAAATAGTTCAAATAGCCAAATTTGTTAAAACTATGCCAATTATTTAATAATAATGCAATACAGGTTTATATATTTGTATGTTTTCTTTTGTAGGTTTCTTCAGTTATTGGCGTGGCAATCTGGCAAATGTTATACGGTATTTTCCAACACAAGCTCTCAACTTTGCTTTTAAGGACAAATACAAACAACTTTTCATGTCTGGAGTTAATAAAGAAAAACAGGTAATTATGTTTGAATATCTATAAAATTTTCTAAGAAATGGTTAGGTTTGTCTTACTTATGATGTTTTATTTAAAGAGGAGGTGCTCAAGTGGCAGAAAAAATAAAGCAGAACATATTGACTGTTAACTTATTATGGTATGGATTAAGTTACAGAAATTGTATATGAAAACAGAATTACATTAACTTTTACAAGTTTCACTAAACCTATCAACACAATTTAATTAGTAAGAGATCTTTTGTCTGAGGCAATATTTCTCTGAGTAAACATTAAATTTAATGTAATGTGCATCTTCTAATCATTGTTCTACTTCACTGAGGAAATTCAGCATTATACCTGCTTTTCTTAAGTAAAGAGAGTGGTCAACAATATGTATTTCCTACTACTGAGGTAATTTATTCCCTAAAGAAGTAAATTGTTTCTTCTTTATGACTAAAGATCTGAGATTAAAGTGTATAGGAATACCAAATCAAATCAAAACAGGAAAATTATATATTTAAGTTAGAGTATTTTATTTTTTATTGCAAAGGTGCTTTTTGTTTTTCAACATAATTACTCCCTTGGTTACAAAATCTCAATTGCAAATTTTCCTATTAATATGAATTAAATGTCCTGATTTCTATTTGTTTTGTTGGATTCAATACACACCTACATCATTTCCAAAATCTTCCCCTCACCCTTATAAAATCTCTCTCTGGCCTCATCCTGTCTCTTTTTTTCTCCCTTCTGCTCCTCATCTCCACCCCTGCCCCAACCAACCAAACTGTCCTAGCAGGTTTTTTAAAAAAACGGTTTAATGGAACATTTCCTTATTGCTATCTTTTAAATTTCCTTTTATACTCCTTATTCCCATTTTTTCAGAACTTTATTTCATTAACAAGTATTTATTGAATTCTTTGCACTGTCATTTATGTTATGGGGAATGTATAAAGGTAACTAAGAAAATTCTTTAGACATAGAATCAGAAGATTTGAATTTGGATTTTGTCTGGGATTCTATTTAGCTGTGTGAGTTTTTGAAACTCACTTTACGTTTCTGATCCCTAGTTTTCTCGTCTGAGAATTGGAAATAATAATGCCTATCTTTTGGTTTTATTGTGAAGTTTAGATGAGATTACATGTAAAGTGCTTAACATAGTGCCTTGCTTTATAATAAGCATTCAGTAAAATGTTCCTATATTCTTTAGCTGGCAACTCTAATAATTGGAACTTCCTTTGACTCAGAATCTTCCTTTCTCTCTGTCAGGATCCCCAAGACCCTCAGGTTCAGTGATTCACTAGAAGGACTCACAGAACTCAGAAAAGCTGTTATACTCATGGTTTGTTACAGCAAAAGGATTCAGATTAAAATCATCAAAGGGAAAAGGCACAATAGGATAGAGTCCAAGAGAAACCAGGTGCAGAGTTCCAGTTGTCCTCTCCTAGTGGAGTCAGATGGACAGCACTTCTCCCAATAACTTGTGACAACACATACGTTTGTTGTCAACCAAGAGAACTCACACAGGCCTTGGGGTCCAGGGTTTTTATGCAGGGTTAGTTGTATAGGCATGGAATGTGACTGACCTTAGCTACTCAGTCTCTAGCTCCCTCCAGAGGTCAAACTGATAAAGCTTAGCCCAAAGCCCCAGGCACACAACAAAACAGTTTAACATAAACTGTTTAGCATAAACTATCTTGGCTGACTTGCTGATCTCAGTCCCATTGTAGATCTTGAAATGACCCTATAAATTGACTCCAGCTCTTTTCAACACTGATCTGAAAACAGGCCTGCCCAACCAGGAACCTTCCAGGAGACACACCAGTTTGTGACCCCAGAAACTGGCCTGCATATCTTGGTCTTGGCTGTGGACCCTGAAATAACACTGTGACTTGGTTCCAGCTTCCTTCAGCCATGGTCCAGGGCATTATGGCCTTCCCAGAGACATACTCAATGATCCAACAGGAGCCATCCCAAAGATGGGAAGAAGCCATACCTATCAGCACTCCTATAAAGGCCCATCATCTATGAACCATGAAGCAGACACTCATCTTAGCACCAGCTTTACACACCAAAGTCTTGAAGACAGTTAGTCCACCCAGGGACTAGATAGAATCCATACCCACTGGAGCTCCTGGTAAGAGGCCCACCAACTGCAGTCTCTACTGCTGACCTAACAGCAGCCACGTAATTTGAATACAACCCCATTCAACCACCATCCTGGAGGCAGGCCTGTCAGCCTGGAGACCTAATAGGAGAAGACTTTAACCTGCCAAAACCAGTCTGTAAAGACTGAAAGAAGGGTTTTGTCCTTCACACGCACAAACACCAGTGCAGGGCTACATGGATAACAAAGAATCAGGCAAACATGATACAACCAAAGGAAACTAATAAAGCTCCAATAACCAGCCCTAAAGAAATGGCAATATATAAATTACCTGTAAAAGAATTCAGAATAATCATCTTAAAGAAGCTCAGTGAGATGCACGAAAGTACAGATAGACAGCTGAATGAGAGAAGGAAAATAATGCATGAACAAAATCAGAACTTTAATAGAAACTATTAAAAAGAACCAAACAAAAATCCTAGAGCTGAAGAATACAATGACAGAACTGAAAAATTCAACAGCAAACTTCAACAACAGACTCAATCATACAGAAGAAAGAATTAGCAAACTCAAAGATAGGTCATTTGAAATTAGCCAAATAGAGAAATAAAGAGAAACTGAAAAAGAATAAAAAAGTATAAGAGAACTATGAAAGACCATCAAACATATGAATATAACAATTATGAGTGTATAAGAAGGAAAAGAGAAAGAGGAAGAAAGTTTATTTAAAGAAATACTGTCTGTAAACTTCCCAAATCTTGGGAGGGACATGGATATCCATATTCAGGAAGCTCTAAGGACTTCAAGCAATATAAATTAAAAAGAATACATAAGGCATACTATAGTCAAATTGTCAAAAGTCAAAAACAAAGAATCTTGAAAGCAGTGATAGGAAAGAAACTTGCCACATATAGGGGAACACCCCCATAAGGCTGAGTGGACTTCTCTACAGAACTCGTGCAAGCCAGAGGGGAGTGGGGTAATATATTCTAAAAGAAAAAACAATTGCCAGCCAAGAATACTACATCCAGCAAAGTTGTTTTTCAGAAATGAAAGAGAAAGACATTCCAAGACAGACAAATGCTGAGGGATTTCATCACCAGGAGATCAATCTTACAAGAAACATTCTTTGAGCTGAAATAAAAGGATGCTAAATAACAACATGAAACAAGAAAGTGTAAAAGTCACAGGAAAAGGTAAATATATAGTTACGTTCAGAATACCCTAATACTGTAAAGATGGTGTATAAATCACTTTTAACTCTAGTATAGAAGTTACAACTCATAAGAGTAGAATGATGATTACCAGAAGCTGGAGGTGGGGGGTGTGGGATGGGGAGAAGGTGTGGAATGGGGAGATGTTGTCCAAAAGGTACAAAGTTTCAGTTAGACAGGAGGAATAAGTTTGAGAGATCTGTAGCTAATAATAATAATGTATATTTCAAAATTTCTAAAAGTAGATTTTAAATGTTCTCATCACAAAAAAATAAGTATGTAATGGATATGTTAATTAGTGGATTTAATTGTTAGTGTGGATTTAATCATTCTGCAATGTAAATATGTATCAAAACACATTGTACCCCATAAATGTATACAATTATTATTTGTCAATTAGAAGTAAAATTTTTAAAAAGTCATTGGTCTACCAAAATGAGATATAACTACACACACATCAAATGTTGATAACAGTGCAGGCAAACCTTATGACCCTTTTTATGCTCTTGAACATTCATTCCAGAGAAATAAAAATTCACGTTCATATAAAAACCAGTGTACACATATTTTATAATAGGAAAAATCTTGAAACAACTCAGATGTCTTTCAACAGGTGAATGGTTGAACAACCTATGGTGAATCCCACCATGGTTATTACTCAGCAGTAAAATATTACTCAGCAGTAAAAAGGAACAAACTTGATTGGACGATTATTGTATGGTTTCACTTAGGTACCTAGAATAGGCAAATTCATAGAGACTGAAAATAGAATAGAGGTTAAATGAGGGTGGGTTAAATAATAGGGATTTATTGTTTAGTGACTATAGAGTTCTGTTTAGGATGATGAAAGTGTTCTGGAAATAGATAATGGTGATGTTTACAACGTTGTGAATGTACTTAATGCCATTGAATCATAAATTTTAAAATGGTTAAAATGGTAAATCTTATGTATACAGGGATACTTCAAAAAGTTCATGGAAAAATTAGGGCTGGCCTGTTAGCTCAGTTAGAGTGCAGGGTTAGAACACCAAGGTCAAGGGTTCAAATCCCCATACCAGCCAGCAACAAAAATAAAACAAACAGTAAAAAAGAGTTTGTGGAAAAATAGAATTGAAAGATAATACAAATCTTTCCATGAACTTTTTGAAGCACTCTCATATTTTACCACTATAAAAAAAGGAACGGAGAGGCTAAGGGCAGCCCCTTCCACCCAGAAGCAGGTATAAGAGCAACACCTGGGGCCCTAGGCAGGAGTCAAGGGCAGCCCTCTCCTCCCAGAAGCAGGTAAGAGAGCATGCTGAAAACACCACTTCCACACAGGTGGCCCACCACAGCCATGGCTGCTGCAAAAACTTGATGCCACCAGAGCAGCCATAGCCACCATGCAGGAGGCCTGCAACTGCATTGACACAAGGAAAGTCACCAGTGGAGAACAAAAAAAGAAGATGATGTCTCTCTCCTCAAAGCTAACTCCAGAGTAATAGAAGAAGCAACTACTCTACCAGATGACGAGATATCAATGTAGAGATACTAGAAATACAAAAACCCAGGAAAATATGACACCAGCAAAAGAATACAGTAATTCTCAAATACCAGGCCCTTTAGAGTAGGAAACCCTTGAAATTACTGAAAAGGAATTCCAACTAACAGTCTTAAGGAAACTCACTGAGTTACAAGAAGACTCTGTTAGACCATAATGAAATA